TTCATTTTATCAATTCAAATTTAAATATAAATAGCCAGATATGGCTGTTGACTCATGCATTGGATAAGTGAAGTTCTAAGTATTTATTTTCTCAGAACTGTTGTTAGCAAAGTACATTCAATCTATCTTAAAATGAGCTGAGGTATTCTAAAACAGTCTGTTATTCTGACATCTCTTTTACTATTAATGCATAATATTCATTTCTCTGCCATCTTTGATTCAATCTTCTTGCTTGCCATTGTCTCAAAAAAATCAACATTTATTAAGTATTCACTGTATCTCAGGCATTTCATTAGCTGCTTTAATTACATGATAAAATTTCACTAGTAGTATGCTGTAGAAATTGTTGTTTGGTATTTGCAATATACTGGGGGAAGGTAAAAATGTTACCTGATATCATACCCCTAATATGAATTCAAGTTTATTGAAAATACTAACTTTTCATATGAGGTCATCTAGTCTCACTAGTAAGTCAGACTATTTGCACTTGGCTAGAATTTGTTGATTTCAGGATGATGCCATAAGTGAAATGCAGAGATTAAAAGCTCCAAATGGCAGTTACCTATGACTTTAAATAAAAACTAGGGACAAAAATTTGCCTTCCAAGAAAATGACAGTTACTAATATAATGTCTGATTGAGAATCTCTACTTGTTAAGACACAAAGCTTTTATTTTCTTTAACAACTGCTACCTCCTGTGTTCTTTGGATTTATCTTTCCAGGTAGGCAGTAAGTTCCATTAACAGATTGTAGTCAGATGCCAGAGCTATGCGACCATTTAGTTATTAAAACAATCTCATTTGAGTTATTAAGAGATAGCACTTTCCATTTTAAAATATCAAGTTCATCAATGACTCTCAAGTGCATTGGTGATGGGGATGTAAAATGGCACATATCCATTGAAAAACAATTTGACAGATTTTTATAAAGAAATGATGCAGTTATTATATATCAAATATTCCTGGATATTTGTCCAAGGAAATTAAAACTTAACATTCACACTAGAAATCTGAACACAAAAATGTGTAGTAACTTTATTTACATGAACCCTGCACTGAAAACACTCAGAGATAATTTAACAAATAAATACTTAATCTGTTGTATCCACACAATAGAATCCCAAACCTCAAAGGGCTATATACTTTGATTCCATTATATACATTATCGAGGTAATATAATTATAGTGACAGAGAAGAGGTAAATTGTCAGAGACTAGGATTAGTGAGGGGGTGAAGGGTAAATTGAAGGGTGTGGGGGTGAGGGAGCATGGCTAATAAAAGGTAACTCCAGAAGTTTTGTGGTGACGGCACCTTTCTGGGTTTTGGTTATGGTGATGATTACTTGAGTTGACACTTGGAATATAATTTCTTTGAACTGTGTGTCCCCAAACCACAAAATCCAAAACCAAACAAAAACCAAACAAAAAGAGTTCATGCAAATACTGCAAAAGCCAAATAATGCCCATGGCTGCGTTAATCATATTGCATCACAGTGACTTTTATGGGTTTGACTATGTACTGTAGTTACAGGACATGTTATTGAGAGACGTTACATGAAGTAGACACAGGAACTCTATTCACTAACTTATGTGACACTTATCAATCCTAAGCTATTTCAAAATAAAAAAATATTAAAGCTCAACCTCATATTCCATTTAAAGTTTTTCCCACACTACCCCCAAAACCTTGCAGAAAGTTGGCTTAATGATTCTGAGAGTCTTTCCTCTTAAGTCTTTCCTGGAGCAGCATCCTTTTATTTTTTTTCCAATGGCTGTTCCCACATATTAGTTTCTCAACCTCTGCACTACTGGGATCAGGTAATCCCTTTTTTATATATTTAAACAGACCATTTATTGAATGGTCTATTAAAATGAGTAGATACTTCCTTATTGCTGGAGAGTGTGTGGGGGTGGAGGAACTGTCCTGAGCATGTCAGATGTTTAGAAGCATTCCTGACCTCTACCCACTACATGTCAGAGGCAAACTCCCTCCACCTCCCCACAAGTCATAGCATTCAAACTGCCTCTCCAGGTACCCCCTATTTTTCATTGGGAACAACATCACTGCCTTCTATGACCATTCCAACAATGGCGAGGGCAGTGTGAATAGAGAGTTTCCACTGGCCTCGTCAAGGAAGGAAGACTCAATGCCAAATAACTCTAGTGCTTTGGGTGACAACTTCTAGCTGACTCAGAGCTGATGGCTCTTGTACTGTAGGGGTTAGCATGCTGTTCCTGTACTGTAGGGGTTAGCAATCAGCATGCAGCAATCAGCATGCCTGACTCTCTCTTCAGTTTATGGGATTTCTCTTCTCTAATGAAGGGGTTAGAGTTGACCACTTTTGTCAGGCTATGCCATAATATTTAGTTAAGTAAAGATAAAATCTTTGTAAATACCATGGGGGGAAATAATAAATGGGTCAGGCCCATATTTTCCAAAGCGTCTTCTCCATTGCTATGGTCTTTAGATATCTTTTCCCTTTAACTCCCACTGATAAGGGTATCCTGCTCCATTAATGCATGATGCATAGCTTATGTGAATTGGATTGATAATTAACTAATCAACTTATGCTTAGCTTACCAACGAGAACAAATATCATAGACTATCAAGGGAGCTAAAGGAAACCTCAGAGAGTCTACAGTTCTTTTAACAGAAGCAGAGAGGCTGGGTCTTACTTGGTATCATACGTGGAATGTTATAGACAGGTTGTATCCAGGGTTTAACCCAAGAGCAGCAACTCTTATTAATAAAATATTAAGGAGTTTGATTGGTCATGCAATGTGGTAATTGAGTATTAACTATGGATGTGGATAGGTCAAGTTTCAAATTTCAGTTCCATGATTAAACAGGCTAGGTGACCTTGGGGAAAACTTGCCACCTCTCTGAACCTCATCTGTAAAATAAGATTATGATATAATCTAATTCACAGATATAGTTAGTGAGAATTAATTGAAATACTGTATTTCAAAAGTTTAGTAGAGTTGTTGTAGCAAACACAGAAAGTGTTTTGGAGTTTAGAAAATTCTTTCACATACATTTCATCTTCCCAACCCACACATGACTTTGGGAGACAGGTGTTCATGACATTTTATAGATGAAGAAATTGGCTCAGAAAGATAAGTGACTAAATCCACACATCCTGTTAACATGAAAACATACACATTGGTCTTCTACACAAAGCCTGGAGCTTCCCCTCCAAAGTTTCTGACTTCCACTTAAGACTTTGTCCTTGATGGCTGTTATGGGGCTTTGCATATATATAGTAGTAGCTAAATATTTGCTGGGGCCAATTATTCTATTGTTTCTTGTAAGTCTGTTCACTTCTCCCCAGCATGTTCAACTTGCACACATATAGTCTGGAATGGAGCCCATGACTTATATGCCAGATATGCTCATCGATGCAGATTATGTTATCAAATGCAAGGGGGATGTGATGTAAGTTCTGATATCTAGGCCACCTTTTATCACTGTGGAAAGGTCAGCCAAGAGGTGCAGATGGAGTGCACAGTTCAGGCAGGTGGCGTGGGTGGGGAAGATCACTAGATCACAGCTCATTAAATATTCTTTTTCACTTTGATTCTGGATAAAAACCAAACCAGATCCACAAAACAAAACAACAGTAGAGCAAAGAGAAGGCTACAAAGGGAAGAAAGCAGAGTTATCAATAATTCAAAGTACCTGAAGGAAAATGTATTTTTACCATAAGATTAATAGTAATGGCATGTTTCTTTGCTTTTTGTTGCTGCAGTGTAAGTGGGAAAAAAACAACAACTATTTAATAAGGTTTTGACATGAAGTTGAACATTATGCAAATTTTTGGTTATTCTTCAAATGAAAAGCCTTATTCTGATGTTTAAGCCAGAGGATTCATTCTTCAGGATTCTTCTCTGAAATATTCCCTTCCCAACCAGGAAAAGAAAATGAAGTTGAATTTTAAAAAGGCAGCTCTTTGTTCCATGTAATCATTCCATTGTACACCTACCATGCTCAATGCTTAATCCTATCAGAGCCTATGTCAGATAGAATCATTAATAGTTAACATGTTTTTGGATGGAGCCAGAAGGGATCATGCTCAGCGAAATAAGCCAGAGAGAAAAAGAAAAATACCGGATGGTCTCACTCATAGCAGGAATCTAGAAAACCTAAATAAGGGACCAGGAAAAAGAATAACTATAACAAAGAAAAAATCAAAATCAACAAACAACTATGAACAAGAGACACACTATGGGGTGGCGCGGGGAAAGGAGGAGTAGGGGTCAAAATTAGGGGGTTGCAATTGTATGGGGAATATAAAAATAAAATTAAAAAAATAGTTACCATGTTTTGCATGCTAAACTAATTTCATATGATTCGTTGTAATAAATAGACTTAATGTCAGTTGAACCTGCACTTGCTGAATGTCTTCTTTTGCCAGTTTTGTGCTGGTTTCTACTACATTGAAAGTTTCTATCTTTAATCATCTGATTTTACTATTACATTTGCTATTACACTTTCATATCTGCATTCCTGACTACATGTACAGTGTTTGGCCAGCAGGAAGACCATTATTTGTACTGAAGAAACAAGCTTGAGAAGGTTGGAGTCCTTGGTCAAGTCAGGAGAAAATGTGATTAGAGTTAGCAAAGAATGTGGCTCTCTGATGGATTTTCTGGGTCAAAATATATTTTCCTCATTGTTGATAATTGATTGAAGAGAGGCAGAAAGGAGAGGAAGGAATAGAAAGAATTCTGCAGTTCCTATCAAATCCCAAGGATGTACTGCTCTCATTCCTTGAGTTGAAGTCATAAGAATATGTAAGGGATGTTCTACAATTGACATTTTAGAGTTGTGATTTTCAGGATTGACTCATACTTTGGAATATTCTTTTGGAATATTCTTTTACCAAAAAAAGTGGAATTGGCACCTCATGATCACAGTATACAACTATGCAAACGCAGCATATGGTTTTGTGGGACATGAGATTACACCCGAATATCCTCTGCTAATCCAGTGAGATCCTCCATGACCTGTCCACAACCTAATGCCCGTGATCTCGGAAACTTACTTCTTTGTACCGTGGACCAAGTCCAAATCAGAACCTCCATGGTGTGACAGCAAGCAAAATGGGCGCTCCTCTCACGTGTAAAATAAATACATCCAGGAGTAGCACATTTGTTTGAAATGATGATGATGATGACAATGATAATAAAACATTTGCTAAACACCCAAGGTGTGCCAACACTATTCTAAACACTTTACCTGCATGAGAAAAGTTAATCCTCACAACAATTTTATAAGTGCAGAAAATTTTAGTGACTTGCCCAAGTTTACACAGCTCTTAAGTGGTATGGCTGGGAAATCACTCAGTGACTAATCACCAAACCCAGTAACTACCTCACCTCTCAACCATGTGACTTCCTCCTGCTACACTGTCCTTAACTTTGTTTTTATAACACACTTTATTTGGGAGCCTCCTTTTTCTTTCTGGCCTGAGAAACTCATTAAGAGCCATTTAAGGAAATCTATGAAGAGTCCTTTGAGTCTGTTGGTAATTGGTACATGTCTCCATCATGTGTCTTATGCTCACTGTCCTCACTAAACTCTGAGCTCCAAGAGAATAATGTTGTGTCTTTTTATTCTTATCCTCAGGACTTGTGCCTAATAATGTCTCAATGCCTAGTAAATGTTTTATGAATGAAAGGATGACTACAACATCTTAACTATCAGAAAAGAACTAACATTGAAACTAAGCAGAACAGGGCTCTGAGTGTCTGAATAGACAGCATACCACTGGTGAAGGGGTGCATGCTTGGCCCTCAGAGAAGTGTGATTTAAATGAATCAGTTGTCTCTCATCTCTGTCTAATGCATCATCCCTACCTCTCTTTGATGTCATAGTTTCATCGGGGCAATCATATCCCTGTCATGTGATCCCTTTCCTCTAGGCCACAGTGGTGGAACCAGGAGAGCTACCCAACCCAAGCTGCACCAGCAAATTTCTTTTGGGAAAGGCTATTCTGGTGAATGGAGGAGATGTTAATGTAAAAGCTGTTGACAATGATAACTACCCAACATTTGGACAAGGTAGGCAAGACTCGCCTGTAGGAAGTAGGAAAAGTACAGAGATATAGGGGAAAAAGTCAAGTTTATAGATTCAGAAAATTTCCTTGCTAGAACACTTACGCTACTCCAGTGACCAAGATCCACAGGCTCCATGAGAAAACAGTCATTTATATTGTTCACTATCTTATCCTTAGGTCTAGAACAGCAAGTATTTAATAATCATTTGTTCAGTGAATGGATAAGTAGGGCCCTGAGCAGAGGAGGTAGCTAGATGAAGGAAAAGGACAGATGGTCGCAATTACTTTGAGTCTGGAAGGTCCTATGTCTCATGTAGGATTATAATTGACTGCCAGAGCTGATTCCATCATTTCAACTTAGAATTTTTTGCTGTAAAAAATATGGCAAGAGTAGAATAGATAATTATCAGAGTTATCTGGAGAAATTTTGCATTGAATTCTGGGTATTTTCAACCTGTGGATATTCTGAATCAATTAGTCTGGGGTGGGGTTTCAGCATCTGCACTTTCCCAAAGCCCCCCAAGGTATTCACTTAGCTCCCTGGTTCCCTCACCTCCCTGCTTGAAGCTAGACTGTTCATTGCATTAAATGGATGTTTCAGTATTATCAATGGGTCACTTATTTAGCAACTACTTATTCAGTATCAGATATACATCTAAACCACAGCACAAATTGATTGCTCTGCTTTTAAAATTTTCTGATAGGAAGACAATCACTGCCTTTCTTCCCTGAACAAAAACATAATGCTTTCTTTAGGGTCATGTGTTTTATGGTATCATCTCAACAGAATGTAAGAGAAGTCCCTTCTATCTGTGTGAAGTTGTGAATTCTGTAATATTAGAGGGTAAGAGAGTATGGGTTTTTAAAAGAGCTATATTTACTGTAGTAAACTAGAATCATTTACCCTGACACTATCTGCTTGCTTTTCTGAGATGTGGATAACAGACCTAGACCAAGGCAAACTGGAAGCTGAAGTTCTGACCACAAAGGTAATTGTAGCATTGTAAATCATAAGTTTGGATCTGTAGTTAGAGACCTTGGTGGCTGCCTATACAGAGAGGTCATGGATAAATTGATAAAGCAAATATTGTTCTGGGGTTCTGGTCCTCACTACTGATTACCTGGATGCATTACCTAACCATTTGCCCCTCCTGGATGTTTATGTCTTCATGTTCCATTGAGACATTGGACCTGATAAAATTGTTCTCAGATTCAAGGACTTAGGGACTCAAGAAATAATAATGTAGGGTCAAAAGACTGATCAGTTGTTGTTGAACTGGTCAAAACCACAGACATACACTGTATGCCAGAACTTGATAATATGGTGGTCATCCTAATGTACTTAATATTTTTACAAGTCAAATGAAAGCAACATTTTTTTCATAGAGCAGTTGAGGATGTCAAGAAGCACCACATGAGATAATATCTGAGGTTCCCTTCAGCTCTTAGATAAAAGGAAGCCAATTCTGATTTCCCAGATGTGAAAAGTTCTTCAGTCTTTTTATCTGACCAATTCAGTAGAATTCTTCTGGTTCTACTCTACACAGACAGAGATTAAGTCTATGGATACCATGAGGTTTAATAAAATCACACATCTCCTGAGTGCCAAACATCCTATTAGGCATTCTTAGATGACAAAAGGGAGGGAGACTGTGATCTCTGCCCACTTCTTCCCCGCATTGGTTTACCATCTGCTACCCTTTTGGCCCTTTTCTGGGCCTTTTCTGGACTTCTCCACTAGAATATTTGTGGTTCATGAAGAGCATCTACCATCCTATAGCTTGGGCACGCCATCCTGCAGGCCCAGAGGACTCCTGCTTTTTCTTCCAAACTCAATTTAAGCTGCACTTCTATTTTTTCCTGATCTACCTGGATAGAATTGTAGGTCCCTTGTGTTCTCACTGCCCCTCAGGCACCATGTGATTATAGCTCTTGTTACATGTTGTTTACATCGCTATTGTTATTTTCCCTCTGTTAGACCATCAGTTATCAGAGGGTAGGAATCGTGCCTTTTTCACTTGTGCATTTCTTATTCCTGGTACTAACTAGTGCTCTATATTTGATTACGAAGTGAATAAATGAATCAATGGGCAACGAAGACCCAGAGACATCCACATTCCACTCAGTCCCACAGCTTCTGTGATGGAGGGACATCAAGCATGGGTGTGAGTCTCAGCTGAAGTAGCCCCCTCCCAGCCCCAGTTCCTGTCTCACCTTAGCCATGCCAGGTCTCGTGACTCATTTCAGTGTCATCCCTGATTGTTCTCTCCCACCCCAATTAGAAGTGCCCTTAGGTCTTTCCTTCCAGGTGCAATTATGTTTTTTTTGGAAGTGCTATTTACACTCTCGTGTCATTTGCATCATCTTTAGCTCTGATGATAATGACACCACCTGCAAAAAAAATTCTCTTGAAAGGGGACGGGTGCTTTATGAAGGCCCAGCAAACTCTTCAGGTGACAAGACAGAGACCCAAACCTCGGTTTTCTAAGAGGTGTTGGCTGCTGCAAGTGGGGGTTTTATGACTGCCGGCTGACGCTCCTTGGTAACTACTCAGCTTTGTCTTTGATTTTCTGATCCCCCTTGTTGTTGTTTTGCTTTTTGCTGCATGACTACTGTGTTCCCAAATACTCACTGCGATTTCTCAAGCATATCTTCCCAGCAGACCCTCAGTTTCATTTTGCTGGTGAGATCCAGGGAAGACAGGAATCCACCCAACATTAGGCAGCCAGACAATGGGAAAGTGCCAGACCCAGATTCAGATACAGTTGCAGCTGAAGCCCTGCTGCTTGGCACAGTGTCATTCACCTCTGATTCCTTTTATTAAACGTCTTCACTGACAAGCTGCTTTCTAACGATCTTCCATTTTGGATATTTCACAAGTTAGTAGCTGTTCAATTTCTGATCTAGTCTCCATGGGCCAGTTCTAATGAGGAGGAGCAGAATGCCGTGAATCCTTCAGCCCTGTCCTTTCATCAGATACGGTACTGCATACTCACTGTGCCTCAGTCACTGCTCCAGACCCTGATATAAAGATCAAAAGATTAGCTGGTCCCTCAGAGAAATCACAGTCTGTAGAACATGTGAACAAAATAATTTCACAAATAGTGATGACACAAGGCAGCGTCTTAACATAATCTTGAAAGTGGTATAACCAATCCAGTGTAGAGCATTAAAGCTGGAAGAATTCTTGTTTGCTTGATATGATCAAGAAAACTTCATAAATGAGATGCCAGGGACTTAGACTGTGAAATATGAAAAAGCTCCCCAATGACACAGGTCTGGGGAGAACATGTGGACAAAAATAAAGGGATGAACAAAGGTCTACATTCATAAAAATAGAGAGGACAGTATGAGAATGATGAATTTTGGGTCAGGAATTTGGGCACAATAAGAATTATAATGCCATTGTTGTGAAAACTTTGAATGCCAAGTTTTAGTGATTAGATCGTAACATTTTTGTACATTCTAGGATTTTAGCAGTATTATTTGGTAGGAGAGCCTCAAACTACATGAAGGAGAGTGTTTTAGTAAGTGATTTATTTGGAAGATGTTGAAATGGGAAAGAATGGGGGTGGAGTGAACAAATAGGCTTCTGTAATGTTTAAGGTGAGAGATAATGAAACTTGAAAAGGGGTGTGGGAGGTAGGAATGGAGGAGAGAGGTGGTTGACATTGAATAGTCTTTTCATTGCAGTCATATGCACTGTCCCTTAATTCTTGTTGAGATACCAAGAAGCATTATTTCAAGCAAGAAGCTCCAGTTGGTCAAATTATTATAGATGCAAAGAAATCATTTTTCCCTTCTCAGCTTCTGTTACAGCAAATGGAGAATTTATCACTACATGAAACTTTTTCAGATCTCTCTTTGTTTCATAGCATGGGCAGAGGACACAAGTTAATGAAAACAGAAGGAATCCAGCAGGATGATGGCAGAGTGGGGATACTGGGCTTGCCTCCACATACCTGCAACCAAATTACACCTCAACAAAGACAATGACCCTGAAAGATACACAGATGACTATCACACCCACCAAGAGCAATGAGCATGGGGCATGGTGGAAAGGGGAAGGAGAAACTGTAATTAAAAGGGTGTTTAGATTGATACCCAGGCAGTACACAGGAGGGAGGGTTGGCTGTGCAGGGGGCTTCTCTACTGTTAACACAGGGGCACATGCCAACATCAGGGACTTAAAAAACTGGGGAGTATCCTGGAGAAGAGTTGACATGCAGGGCAGAGGGAGCACTGCTGAGAACAACAGGAAGAAGGGAGTAAGGTAGTGAGTATCAGTTTGAGCTTGTGGTTCCCAAACTAGAACTCTTGGATCCAGAACTGATGGGGAGAGCCAGATAAGATCATCAGTATCTCCTCACAGAAGAGGAAATTAGTTGCAATCTGTGGTATGATATTTGGCCACGCCTTACCCCCACTCAGGGTCACAAACTGAGACAACAGAAAGCTCTCATTTTTTAAAAAAGATTTATTTATTTATGCATACAAGAACTAGAGTGAAGGCCAGAGGTGCAGGGGGTGAGGGGATTCACCAGAGACAGAGTGGGGAGCAGAACAGGCTGATTGACTGAAATAAACTGCTGAGGGGAGCAGTGGGCAAGACAAGAGAGGTCTGCTGTGCCATGTGGGTCACCCCCTGGCCAGGGATTAAACTCGTGTTGCAGTGACTGTGGATAGTTTCATCGTGCTGAAACTTCACCACTTGCGCCACCAGGGAGGCCCTTGGAATGCTCTCATTTAACAAGAGTTTGAAGCACCTGGATCTTAACAGTAAGTACAACTGCCCCAGGGTAAGTCTCTATACTCAAAAAGTCAAGAGAACAATTTTCAGTATGTGCCTTATCTCAATGACTGTCTACAGTCTCCCACATTACATCTATTGCTCAACCACATCATAGAGGTAGAGACTGGCATGAGATTGTTGAAGTTTTGCCCAAGAAGTTGGCCTAGGGAAGGGACTGTGGTGGATCATCACTACACAATTCGAATGCCTGT